ACTCCCTGCAAACGGTCAATGACAGTTGACTGTTCGATCTAAACGTGTGCACATGTCCACACCCCGAAAGTGCGCAGCACACCTACAAGTAGTATCAAAAGCCTGTACTGCATTGGGATGACAAACCTTGTTTATGGACGCTGTTTTCGAACTGAAACAGTCGACAGCCAGACTTCACTAGGCTTGATTTCACACCCTTCTGCCAAGCTAGACCGTCACCGACATCAGCTGACATCACACAGCATCTCGTTGTTCCACAACATCCCGGCTATCATCCTCCTCCTTCCGGTGTTTTCTTCACTGTCGAGGTTCTCCACTGGGTGGGCAGCGAACAAGACGTGCTGGCTCCATGAGCTCCGGACCTAAACCTCGGCCCGGACGACGACGCGATGACAAACCGTTGAGGTTTAAGCTTCATGATATCTTATGCACTACCCTTGAAACCAATACCCAGCGACAAGGTTAAGATAACCAGAATAAGAAGTCAGAGCAGTCTAGAGTAACATACATGGACAGACTTCACACCCTGGCGTCCTGCAGTGCGACAACCAAAGAAGCGAAACGAAGGGATCCTGTGACTGCAGTATTCCGGGTTGTGGGTTTGGGGTTTTGGGTTGTGGCTTGGGGTTTTCGGATTGAAGATTGCGTGTTTCGTATTGGGTTTAGGGGCTTCTATGTTTAGAGATGAGGCTTGAAGACGGCAAAGGTCGGACGCCCGCTCAGCTCTTAGCAGCGCTTCAGGATTTAGGTCTTCGGTTTACAGGTTTAAGGATCTTGGCGAGGGATTCTGCTGGAAAAAGCAGCTAGCCAGCCTTTTCAGTTACACTTCTACTTCTCTGCAGCACACACAGTAACATGAAATGCCAGGCCAGCTCTACGATTGCTGCTCCTGCATCTCTCTCTCCTGTAGTTCAGAGGTGTATACACTGTACCCCGCGCCTCGAAAACACGAAACCCCTCAAGACCCAAAAGCTTAAGTTACAGGAGCCGGAACAAGCAAAGTGAGACTTAAGGAGGGTTTTCCCCATCACAGAGTCTTCCTATGACCATCTAGCATTGGGTGGGAGATCCCGCGCTGGAGTGGGAAGAGGGGTTCTGCTGGGGAATCTCGAAGCTACTTGCTGGTGGTTGAAGGCAAAGCCTTAGATGACCCTCGGCAGGCCTTCACGGCGACCCTCCTGGAAAGTGAATCCACGTGCCTCAACCGCTTTCGGGTTTGTGGCTTAGTCACGTGGGGCTGAAAAAACACGTCGAACAAATACCTCCGAAAAGCGCTGTCTGGATGGCCTACGACTTTTTTGAAATGTACTTCTGAAGTTCATAAGGGAAACAAGACCATCCCCAAGTGCTAAATAGAAAAACTCGCAGGACCCCTTCTTGGAATCCTCATTAAACTCTACATTGTTCTCATCTCGGGCTGCTCGGCTTACCGGATTTGCGGCAAAGGTTCAACATGTTGTTTCTTCTAGACTTGTAACAAGATTCTGACTTCGCAACTCTGGCTGGGAGTCAAGGCTTCTCTGTCACCAGGCTTGTAAGGCTCTCGTTCAAGACGCTCGGATACTGCCCAGTAAGGCTCTAAGAAAACTAAGCCAATTCCAACGATAATCACACCTCTCCGACAATTTTGTTATTACAGTGGGAATCGGCTGACAAACTTTTTGTTGAATCTTTCAGACGTACCTACAAGTACACATGATCTGCACTGGATTCCGGTTGTCGACTGAGGTGTCAACAAATTCGTCGCGGTCGTGCGAGTTCGTGACCTGTTCGGCTGAACCATCAACATGACTGCGCTACTCGTACCGGAAGCCATTCAAAGGCAAGATTTGTTGTCAAATCAATTATTGCGAAGAACACCTCTGTCCCTGCCAAAAGCCCAGGAAGCGCAACGCCCGAAAGGTAAGGAATACTCCTTGAACTTGAGCCGTTCCAACTTCTAAACCCTGAGAGACCACAAACACAATTCTTAAGTAGGGTACTACGGGGCCTGAATCATTGGAAATGTCGCTCCGTAGCGTTCCCTGATATACTTGTAACACAAAGCAGTCGAACACCATAGTCGTCTCGGCCTTGTCGGGCTGACTTGGTGGAAAGTGTTGTAAGGAATGAGGCAGGTTTCCGGGCTTTCGGGAGCCAAAAGCCAGAGGCATGAAACCTAAAGCCCTGAGTGTAACCAGCCGCCATGTTACCGGCCATGTCTGTCCAAATCCTACACCCAAGGCCTGAAAACCTCGTCAACCCTAAACCCTGAAATCCCTAGCCCTTAACACCCTCTACCCCTGGCCGGCAACGCTCAAAACCCCCGCCCCCCCTGAGTCCTGAAGCCCTTCCAGTCTCAACTTTCAAAACCCACAAACTCGTAATACCTCTGACTGTCAACCCCACTTAGCCCGTCACGCTCCATAAATGCGTCGATTTTTGCACTGGCCTTGCCACCGAAGTGCGCGACCAAACGATCCTTGGGAGGTGGCGCACAAAAAAGTCGCTTCTGCCGAATTCTACGGTTTAGTTTCTTTGAGGATAAGGCTTCGTGTTTTGCTGTTAAAGAAGTTGAGGTATTCCATCTACCAATCAGCACGGTCTAGGTTTGAGGGTCTGGGGTGTCAGGTATTGCAGAAGAGGCTTTCGCCAAGAGAGTCGAAGGTTTCAACGGCTGTGGGAGCGAGGATACTAGGACGACCTTCGGTATGCTTTCACTCAGGCTTGATGAGAGGGTGCGAATCCTGCAGGGATTTGGGGTCTGTGGGTTTGAAGGTTTCAGGTTTTGGGGGGTTAAAGTCGTCGAGCAGGGCTTCTCGGCCGAACTGGCAGCGGTCTTAAACTACAGTATCACAGGGACAAGGACATTCCACAATCTGAGCCCGTGAAGGTCGAAAAGCCCTCAAACAACCTTATCACTCCTCTGAGACACCCAGGCCCAGAACAGCGGTCTTAGGGTGCCAGGCTTTAGGGGCAGCTCGTACATGGCTAAAGCCTCCCACAAGCCAAGTAAGCCTGGCAGTGTATGCACGAAGGACTGGGCTTAGGTTTCCGTGCTCCTTGTGCACTCAAGTGCTCGACATCAAAACGAACGCCCGAAGGCCGAACGCAACTCCTACGTTTTTGGCATTTTTTGGCCCTCTTATTCAAACACCACACCATGGACACAACCGTCAAGAAAACCTCCTTGCTTGTGGGTGCCGACGTCATTCCTGCCGTGTGGACTTCCTGCAGAACAAGTTAACAAGTTAATGCGAATGTAAAACATGTAGGGGTAATTACCTGAAACCCTAAACCTAAAACGACGCACCCTCAACCCAAACCCTAAATCCGACCTGCGGCAATTTGGTCCCCGGCGATGAAGACTTGCATCCTTTCTGGTTTCTCCTGCCTCGATTATCGGGACTGGGTGTCCCTTTTGACTGGAACCCTGGACAAGGTATTTTCAGAGGCTGTCTGGAGTGACCTTCACGTATTGCGGACAAGCTCAAGGGGTCGTTTCCGGTCAGTTGGGGCTTCTGGTGGTTTGTATAAAGTAAAGGGGTCGGGGTCCAGAGTCTACAGTCTAGAGTTTATTCATTTGGTGCGGGTTTTTCTTGCGGTCAATGTGTTCGGAGGTTTGGTGGTGGCCAATTTTGTGGGAAAAGAGAAAGGATTTCAGATGCAAAGCGAAACCTACGGCCATGCCACTAACGGTGGCTTCCGCCGGGCGAAAATGTTATCAAGCACGAACATCTGGGCAACATTCTTGCGCTCTGACTTTCGAAGATGGAGGTGCCTTTGCAACCAGGATCCTACAAGTCTACAGATGCTGTTCAGGCCCTAAGCCCCGCACTTTACTATGTCACTACGGGGATGAGTTGTGTTCTGATGCTTCCAGACGGAATGCCAATTGAGATGTCTGCCATGCTAGCATGTCCCCGACAAAACAGCCATGTAAACACGTAATTGGGTCTGTTATTTTGTGGTTGTTCTACCCGCTTCTTTGGGGCTCTATAAAGGTTGTAAAACCTGACGCCCAATCCCGAACTACTCAGGCACACGATGCACAGTGCCAAACTTCAGAGTCAGTCCACTAGGCAATCGGCTTCGGAACACCATGAATATTCAAACCCTGCAGTCAATGAGTTGAGTTGAGTATGGGCCCAATGGTATGGTACGCATGACCCTACCTACAAGTGCTCATGAACCCAAAGCGAAACCCTGAATCCCACGTCCCCACGTGCCTAAATCCATCCATGAGCCTTCGAAAGTTACCTCCAAGCCATCTCGTGCCATCCGAGTGGCTCAGCAATACTCCGGTATCCGTGGGAGGTGAGGGTGACCTGTGCAGCTCTCACATGACCACACGGGTATGAACCGTCCTGTCTTAGTCACGAAATTACAACCTTACAAAAGGGAGGTTTGCAACTCAGAGATTTTTTTATCCAGGGTCCTTTTCACACGCATACTACCTGTTGAGGAAATACATTGCAGTGCACAGAACAGAGGCTCCTCCGAGTGTGACGTCTTGCGGCTGTCTTGTTGTCAAGGAATTCAGAATTCTTTCTAGGGGGTCTTTATCATAATTGACACGTGCCCATATTTTCTTACAAGAGTTTCCTGAGGTTCATCAAGAGTCACTTCATCATCCAAACACCTCGAATTTATAGCTGTGAAAACGCCTTATTCATAAGTGTCTGTTTTCGCTGCAGCAGTGCCAGTATGAAGCATGCCAGCACAGAACCTTCAGACCATCCAGCATGTCCGTGATGGCCACAGCAACCTGGCATTCTGCACGGCCTGTCGCCACAAAAGAGACGCAGGCGCACAGACATCTGTGACTACCTGTAGTTGGGCCTTGTAAGTTTCAGTACCCGGCACTTGGGCTCAATGGACCCGAGCAAGCAGCCACATGACCACAAACTTGTTGTAGGGTCTGCAGCCATACCAAGACGCCCACTGATCCCAGTCTCGGTGGTCTGCTGGATCCACATCCCTCTCCGCGCCTGAAATGAAGTTCGCCTGTATCATAAGCCTCTCGATGGCAGTCGCTATTGCCATCCGAGAACACAGCCTTGCCTCTGAATTTCGTTCGGATGCGCCTCCATCTTCGACCGGTTGGTCTTCTCCTCCGGCCGTCTCGCACAGCGTCTCGGCTGCCTCCTTGCGTCTCTTGCCGCCGCAGCTGCCGGCCGATGCTTCTGCGACTCCGTGATCGAAAGTCTCATCGTTCAGTGCACTTCCGCGGCGACTGACATCTTCGGCCGAGACCATCGTAGGGCACCGATCGAGTGCTCGGACAACAGGCAAGACATGTAGCGCAGATCGGCTTCAACCACCTCATCAATTGGCTTCTCGCAAGGAGAGTGCCGGGCTCCGAGCATGGCCGAGCCCGTGTTCCTAGCATTTCTTGGTGGCTCCTGGCCTCTGGCCATGGTTTGACCCACTTTTTCTTTCTGGCCGGCCTGCTCCCTGACCCGCTTGGTGACCCGAGGTTCTAACCCTGACCAGGCCCCAGAATACTGCTCGGGATGGGGCAGGACACCGGATCTTGTGATGTCCTGACTGATGGATACCATAAAATTCTACTGCCTTCCCAAATATGAACCGCTACTCTTGACACTTGCGCACGCACAATGGTTGCTCAGGTGACATTCTTTAGACTGAGGACCTCCGACATCACTGCATTTTCCAGCCTGCTCAGTGAGAGGCGCAGATGTAAAGCTGCGGAAGCATCCTCCAACAATATCCTTTTTCAGGAACCGCATCCCCTCATTGGTTGCCGGTGACATCGTAACGGGACAGAAGCTCATTTTAATTTCACGCGGGCACTCTTGGGTGGCCATTGCAAGAGCTACATCACGGCAAGCGATGAGTTCACCTTTCCTCAACATCCGCGATTCGCAAACCAGCAGGTGGCGGTGGTGGTGAACGGCACGGGTGCTCTCTGCCTTGCAGCTTGGTCCCTGCCGCCTCAACCCCTCCACTAGCGTTAGCGCTCCGGCAACAGCTCTCAAAAAGCCGGGCCCCTCAATCCGAGCTTCATTGCACTACCACGCCCAAACTAGCAAAAGAGAGTACTCTCGAGCCAGCCTGGGTTGGATTGGGTCACTTGGCAAGACAGCTCGCTTTTCGGACCCAACAGCTCTTCCTCCCACGATCCCTCGCGAGAGTACTAATTCTAAGCTGGGGGCACAGGCACCGGCGGCAAACCCGGAGAGCCGCCTCCGCAACGGCACAAATAGCCGTTCCCCCTATGGCCGCTCCCTGACCAACTCAGGATCGGCTTGGCGCGCGGGGACACTGCCTGGAACTGAAGGCAGCACCCCGGACAAAAGCTTGAAAACAAGCAGGCAGGATCCTGTGAGGTTTGGGGCCGCTGCAGGCGAGGGCTTCAAGGCTTAAAGGGTTAAGTCCGACTGGGACTTCAATAATGTACATCTTAACGGTAAGTCTTAACGCTGGCTACGCAGGAGCCATGGCGGAATCTTAGACTGCAGATAACCCAAAAACCCTGAGTCCAAAAGTCTTGCATTGTAACTTACACATTGAAGGCGCAACTTCGGCGTTTGTGGCCTTGCGCGGATCGGGAATGCAAAGCTGCGAGAAGTCCTGCAGGTGTCGCGAGGGTCTCGCCCGAATGAGCATGCAAAGGCCACTTCAGCCGTTTGACTAAGTGGGCAAGTGAGATGGCTCCGAGATTTCTGGCCTGGGTACAAGTAGGGGTTAGCAGTCTTGGGCGCTGAAGTTACTCCTTTAGTTTTGGGAGGCGCAGGAGGTCCTTCACAGCTGCGGCTGCTGGTTTTCGGGATGCTGAGAATTTAGGACAGTGGTGGCAGACTCAGCGCGTCCGCTCCTCTTGTTGGGCTCCTGCTGACTGCTGACCTGACTGTCAGCTCCGGTACAATCTCCTGAATCCCATCTCTTGAACCCCAAGCATCAAAGCCAGATCCGGTTCTATAAGCTTGTAAAGGGCTATAGTATAAGGTCGTTTTAAGCCACGGGCAAAACCCCAAGATCTCAAACACCTACGCCGCAGTTATGAATCCTGAAGCCGTAAACCGTGCGAACAACGCTAAATCCAGCAACCTGGAGGCCTACATCTCTGAACTTCTCTAAACACCAAATCCGAAAAGTTCTCATGCACTGCTCTTGCTTCTAGGATCTGAAAGCTGTTTCTAAAGCGGGAGGTCCGCGGAGCCGCCGTAGGCTGAAGCCACAGCACGTGGCAGGTCAGCATCGCCCTGTACGGGCCGATGCTCGGCAGTTCCGGTACGAGGGTATGCATGTTCCTTTCAAAGGTGATGGGATTGGTCTTCCTTTTCTCCGTCAATAGCATCGGCAAGATCGGCAAGCGCTTCCGTCTACACCAAACATAGAAACCCTGGGAATTGAAATTCTCCTATTGGCTAGTCAAGTTTCGTACGGGAGTATGCAATAAAGGTGGATACCAACATATATAAATATATAAATATAAACTGAGTAATAAAATGAAGAATTACTAGAGAAACAAGTACATGGAAAACTGAACAACCAAATCAATAAATGACTAAATACAAAGATAAACAAGTGTGTCTTGGTATGTATATATACATATATATATATATATGTCATAGGACTTGAATCGAAGGTTCGGAGGCAGCCATAACAACAGAGGCAAACACGGGTACGCAGCGACGCTGGAGCAAAATTGCAAGCCTTGTCGATGTGTGCATTAACATGGCTTGACTGTCCCTGAAGCTGGAAGTGGGTTCTGCCTCGCTTGACAGGGTTCGAGGGTGTTGCAGCAAAGGTTTACCGCTTTGCTAGTATTTCCGGTGCCTCGAGGATTTGGAACTGGCTGGAGAGGACCGTGAAGCCTAAACTGATTAAACGTCATAAAACTCAAGCCAACCCAGGCTGCACAAGCGGCTGCAGAGCAGATGGTTGGACGACACGGTGCCCAGGAAGAAATCACCCTTTTTGATCTCGGGGTTTGAGATTTAGTGTTTGTGGTTTCTGAAGCCCAAGCACGTCACCGTTGAGTCACTTGAAGCGTCTGGCTGGGCATGCTAGGCTTCAATGGCTTACTTTTGAAACCTCCTCAGCCGCTAGAATCCTGAAACCACAGAAACCCTCTCCGAAAACTTCAGTTGGGGTCTTTTTTGTTCGGATCTTTTCTTCTCTGGCCTTGGCTGCGGGGACCAGGCACCAAGCTTGGAACTCGTCTCCGAAGTAATCGAACTCGGCCACGGGGTAGTCCTGTCGATCTTCGTTTTACACCGATGCTACTTTGCTTTAATGTGGCCTCGAGGTGCACCCGGAGGCAGCTTTTCATGTGCAAGGGCAGTTCTAGCTTGGCTTGTCTGCATTTCGCCTAAGCATACACGCCGAGGCGGAACTTGGCTTCACAACATCGAGCAGTGCCAAGTGCGAGCCGCAGTGGGAGCCATGAAAACAGCTTTACAACGGATTCGCCCCAACAGCTAGTTCATGTGTCTGATATCCTCGTTGGAAGCAGTGGTAAGTGGGACAGCACGGCCTCCTTTCACGGGCTAGAACCGCTTACCTCAACTGTTCCCAGCCCCACTGCTTCGCTGGCCTCAAGAGCTAGAAGAAAACGGGAGAGAATGACATCGATCAAAGTATACTTCCTACAGCCGTACATCCAAGTCCTTATGAACCCATACATACTAGGCCCAAAGCCTTCCGACATCCTGCACCCTAGCCGCCAAACCCAAACCCCAAGTCTCACATCCTAGACTCAGAATTCCAGCCCCTAATGAAGCTCCTGACATTCATAACCTTGGATCTTTATATTCGGTGCCATCAAAAGAGGGGCTCCATCCACATGCTCCAACATGGACCCTACACCCAAAAGTTTTCGCTTCGGTCCCCAAGTTGGAAGATGCCGAAATCCATCTCGGTGCCCCCCTTGTCATAGCCTGAGGCTTTCCGATTTTATACGGATGTGAATTTGATTTTTGAGTAAGGGTACGGAGGGTTGAGCGTTTGGGGGCACGGGCAGGTCTAAACTTTCGGGGTGTAGGGTTCCTTGTGCAACGAGCAATCCAAAAGCCTAACTCCAGAAGCCGAGTATGGGCGCCTTGATCTGCAGAGCAGTGGGTGGAGGTATATTGTAGTACCGATCTAGGGACTACAGAGGCAGACTGTTACTACCTGTTCGGGCCCCTCCCCAATCGCACTTGATGTCGGGAGTTGAAAGGGACTGCATCTGTGCGAGATTGCAAAGTCTTACCTCCAAACTCCAACTCCTAACTAAATGGCCAATCATTGCTCCAGACACTTGGCCAAGGACGGACATGGAACTCGAAGAAGGACACGCCGCTCAGCAAAGGGGAGCCTGCACCCCGGTTGTACTCCAAGGATCAAGGGGCCGTGGTAAGTAGGTTAAATTTGAGGATAAGACCACTTGCGATCCACTTCCTGGCTGCCTTCATCCTGGAAGCAGGACTGGTGCGTTGCTGCTACTGCTACTACTACTACTACTACTACTACTACTACTTCTACTACTACTTCTACTTCTACGAACTCCGACGACTACCGCTAAGACTGCTACTCCGATCTTGATTCAATATTCGATATTGTTGGTGTTGCTGCTGCTCTTACGCAGAAACACCGTGGCTGCTGAATAGGTTTTAAGGCCGTTAGTTTAGCTCGGGCTGTATGACGATTTGCAATGGGGGCTCACGCAGCAACCTGCCTGATTCTCAGTGCTCGCTTGCGGATAAACGAAGGGTACCCTGAAAGGCTGTTCTGAGCTGGTACGCTTGGCCTCATATTTCCCTTCTGGCTCCTCCAAGACAGCACACAAAAATCTGATTTCTGCGTGATAACGCCGACCGGTCCGTGTAGCCCCTGGTATGATACTTGACTTGGGCAACAATGCTCGTGGGGTTTGCCTTTAAACGGCTTCATAGGATGATACTGCGCAAAGTTTTATGCAGTACTTTCGGGCGTGGGCTGCAGAACTCGCACAGAAGCCTCGCGCTATCTCCAAGATTTCCTTCAAGTCGTTGGCAACCTGGGACAGAGGAAGACGGAGCGAGAATGGGGAGCGTAGCTTCGGGATTGAAGTATAAGTGTGCGAATGAATTTAGCATGAAGACCATCTTCGCAGAAAGATTACCCGCGAACCCCGAACCCTTCTTGCAGCCTACACAAGCGTTGCAGATCAACAGCTGGAGTAGCCTCTCTTACTTCTCAAATTTATGTTGCTATGTCGAAACTTACAGATGGGAGTAGTGCCGTACCTGTCGCGTTGCATCCCTATG